GGGGGTTAAACTCATAGTGGAAAGGTCCACAGAGTTTGATGGTTCAAAGTTAGGTGTGACATTATTTCATTTGAGCTTTGTTTTTGTTGAACAAAGATCTTACTCAGACACTATCTTTGCGTTGTTCTGTATAGAAACAGTACTGTAGATATCTTGTACATAAAATTGTGCATGATATTAATTATGGTTATTGATGTCTCAACTTGTGAATAGTACATTATATTCCAGTGATTTCATTCAGCCATTCAACACTAAGTGTAAGTATATTTTGTTGTTTTTGTTGCCTTCCAAACATAGATAAGTTGAGTGACTCAACTTCTTGTCGAACAAATTACGGTGATGTTTATTTGAAATTTTAAAAAAAAAAAAAATAATTGCAAACTTGTTTTTGAGTTTCTTCAAAGTGCTTGTTTGAGCTGATTGTGCTAAAGAAGTTCAATTCTTTTAAAGACTTCCAAACAAGTACTAGGACTTTTTGGAACGGGTGAACTACACCTGGATAGATGGGTGGGACTGAGGGCTCGTGGTACCTACTGCCCAACCTTCCACCTCTGCTTTGAGAACCGTGTGGATGGAGAGTGGGCAGAAGAGAAGGAGGTCCTCATACGGAGTCGCACACTTACTTGAGCAGTGTAGGTGACTGGGAATGGGTCGAATAAACTCCCTTGGGGCCGTAAAAATAACTGACGAAGCTTTACTTAGATAAGGCTCAATTTGAACCAGAAATGAAAGTGATTTTTCAGGTTGCATAATATGAAAGATGAACCAAGGCACTACATGACCAATGATAAAAGATGGAAGAGAAATCCAGAGTCTAAGATGCTTCAGCAGAGAGATTACATATCTTCACTCCATCAGAAGCTTCAAGCTTACAGTGGAGCTGCCATTGATATTGGAATCCATATTTCGATTTTCTCAGCATTTCTACAACAGGTTTCGTCGTCTGGACATGTCTCTGAGTCTACTTTAACTTGCTATCTATCATATGCAGAAATGCCTTCAAGGCAAAATGAACAGAGTTGAACAATAGTCAAACCATTCTTCTCAGATACATTTAGAAAAATAACAACACTAATGAAAAAAAAAGAGAGAAATTAACACTGGATGACCCCAATTCCTGTCTGTGCCGATTACTGGAATGTTGTTCATATATGTTACCATAGTTTAGCACAACATCGTTAATAAGGTATATATTACATAGGAGACTTCAAAGATCTCCCTTCAAATCATATCATGGATCTCCCTTTACGACATTAGAACTAGAGTAAGCCTCTCTCCTTTGTAGAAAACATAACTAAGAACCTTTGTGGACTGTAATGAGGCCTTCAACAACTGTATGCCCTGCAAGGACATGTTGAAAAACGAGTTATTATCGTTGAATAAGAATGAAGAGAAAGAAAAAGCTGCACCAGATCAGGGTAACATTTCAATGCTAGTTAGGAACTACAACAGAAATGCCAGCAAATCAAGGAAGGTTTGTTATTCGACACAGGATAGGAAAGTGATGATGAAACAAATAAAAGTAAAGAAGATAATGACAAGTTTAAGGTAGCTTTGTGCTTTTAGATGTGCTGGAGGCATTGCCTTTTTGAAAGAAAAGCAGATATAACACTTTAATGTATGAAAAAATTGGCCCAAACAGGAGAAGACGTATAAGCCCACAAAAAAAGTCAGAGTCCAAAATAGGAACTGAAAAACTGAACCAAACCAAAACCTACCAAATCAGTAATCAGCTAGCCTATTCAAAACAAATACTGAACCAAAATAGTTCAAATGAACCAAACCAACCCAACCGAATACACTCTCCTACAAGTTATGTGGTCAATGTAGGAAAAATAATCGGACCAGGGAAATACAAATATGAGGGCAGATCCTCTAATATGAAACACGGGTGAGATGCAGAACTGTGGCTTTTACAGAAACAAAAGAACATTGACGCATTGTAGGCCCCTCTTATAAAGGAAAGGAAGAAGGTAACCATGGAACTGATTTCAATAATCCTCTGCTCAACTCTCGGAGTAACTGAGGATGGATAGAGAAGTTGAAAGAATAAAACGCCAGGAAAGGAAACCATTTTAAAGTGTAATAAAAAGGAAGAAAGGACTTTCAGTAAATCAGGAAAAAACAAATGATATTATTATCACTGTCAAGAAGGTTGTAATTGTGTAAGAGAGCTAATAAGCGATAAAGATTGGGTAAAAAGGGAATGAAGGATAGTTTTGTAGGCATAACAAATTAAAAAAAAATGGAACCTAATTAGCTAAGAAGGTAAATTAACTGTACCCAACCAAAGTCTCAGGTTATAGAAGTGGGACATTGGTATCATTTCCGCCAAAGGCGGAAGATAAACACTGAATTTCTATTTTGGCGGAATACATCGACAACCCCTTAAACTTGACAGCATATTTCATTTAGACACTCGAACCAAGGCTTGTTCCAGTTGAGCACCTGAACACATGATAAAGTGTTCCTATTAAACACTTTAGGGGCTCAATCCTTTGAAAAGCTTCTGCATGTGTTCTAAAACGCC